ACGCATGGGCCAAAATGCCTTGCACATAAATGCATATAAATACGTGAAGTGTACATATTCGAGTTATTATTTGTACCAGTTTACATTTTCATATGCATGAGTGTTCATATCTTTCTGTGGCATTTTTGTATAGCTGTGTTTGTGTGAAACATCAAATTTACGTGTTCTTATCACTTCATCTTATATCCATGTTCATGTAAATGAAGTCTGAGCTGCCTTTTGTCGTCATCGTTAATGTACGCATAACAAGAAAACGTTCTGTTGAAGTGTTCATGACGTTACTGACAATAATTTTTTCTGAACAATATTTTGGTACCCATAGTCGGTTACAGTCTAACAGTAATTGTAAGCTCCCCGCATGACGGCCACCACCTCATCTAGGCAGAAGTTTCATGAATGCCCCACTATTTGCAATCGCTTATTTACTTAGAAGCGTGGTGGTTCGGGCTAGTTTGAAGGTCATGAAGCGCGAGCTCACAACGACGATAAAAATACAAGAATTCAGTTGGAAGATTGCGCTCGTCTTCTTGTCTTTTTGTCGTCGTTGTGAGCTCGCGCTATAAGATTCGTCGCTTATTTACGTGACGTCCGTACAGGTATATGACCTGCTCGAATAAGCACGTGTTCATTTTGATAGTTTTCGGTTGAAAAATTTTACTTGGCCAATTTTCTGGAAAATTTCGACTTGCCTGCTCAGCCGAATGAAACTTTTTAACAAGAAATGACAATCTTTTGATGCGCAATATGCGTAGTAATTGCATTATCAGAAAAAAGTGCTTATGGTTCAAACGAAAATTGTCAATCACATGCTGCACAGGTGAATGACTAGCGGGCCACTGAACTGGGGACGGAGTGCGTATTTATTTTCACGTTGTAACCAAGCACGGTCCTTTTAAAGGCTACAACTGACTCCTTTAGCGCTTGTGAGAGTGAACTTCGTGCCCCCTGTTCTACCATATGATATGTGGGGTTTAACGTAAGTAGTGTACCAGGCTGTATTTCGGAGCAAAAGCCCCCGTCAGGCTTTACAGCCTTTTGCTTTTGCTTCGTTTTTTTCTATCTACAGGAAAATAATATAAACCTCCAACCTCAACCTCAAAACCACCATATGATTATGAGAAACGCGTTCCTTTTGTTCCAATCAAAAACGAAGAGCAAGAAAGGACAACTGCGAAAGAAATGGGAGGTGGCTGGCGGCAATGAGAGGCCATCATGGCCAATCGGGAGGGTCATTATGTAGGCAGTATTCCGCGGAAAAAAAAGTGGGCGAAGGTGTGTCACGTGTCGCTGAATTATAGTTGTCTGAATAGAGCTTCACATAAGTTATGTCGAATTCCAATAGCAGAGTTGGGGTAGTCGATGGACAGCGGGAGCGAACACTCGACTCTGACGTATAACTACGCCGTCAGATCCGTGACTGGAACACAAACACGTGGCGCTTGAGCAAGGCGGAAGCGGAAGGCTCATCTTTCGAGTGAATACTTGCCCTGAATATCTTGCGTACAATTATTCCATTACATTGTCAAACTCTTGCTTGTGCGCGGCAGTTTCAGCGTTGCTGTCGCTATGCGATGAATTAATCTTGCAGGACTATCTTTCCGACTCTAAGCTATCGCTAACGAACAGCGAAAAACAACGCCAGACAATTGGCCGCCCTGCCCAGGTCGTCCGCCGTTACCACCAAAACCAACGACTACCAGCGGCACCCCCCTCCCCCCGCAGCAAACGTGTTATAAGAAATACGTCACGCCGAGTTCCGGTCCGCTCCACCGATTTTGGCGGAGCAGCCTCTCATGATACACAGGGTAACTCCCGCTCTGAATCAGCTCTGACTCACTCGTTGGAACTCTTCGCACCTACCCTCACTCTATCGTGGGAACGCACTTGGTCAAAGACGAGTAGAAAAGCTTGCTCCGACTCCGCCATTGCAATACAACTTTGGAAATTCCTAGAGGATGGGCTTTACATTTATCGGTTTCTGTTGTGTATGGGCCATTTCGAAGAGACTAAAGAGCCCCTTTTGAAACGTTTGTGCTTGCTGGCTAGAATATGTTCCATTCGTGAATAAGACATAATTCTGTGCATTTTATGACTCTTGGAGACCAGCATTTTGACTGAAGGACGTACAGTGTAGGGTCTTCAAATGGATATCCTGCCACATCAAAGTGCTGTGTCACTGTTTTCGATATATATTTCGCCTTGTCAGCACAATGTCTGATTAATCTAACTTTAACGGGCTACCCCGCATCACCAATGTAGCGTTTGTGACAATATGAACATTACATCGAAAAAGCAACGTTTGAACGATTACAGGTAAAGCTAGATTTAATATACTCTACGTATTCAATTCCTGTGCTTTCAACCTTTTAACTATAAGGTCATTATGAACGTGTTTGCACGTCTTACAATTTGGGACAGAACAAGATGTTATGTCGTTAGTTGAATGAGGCTTTGCATTTGCATGTCCTTTGAAGGACATTTTAGTGCAAGCAAAACGATTGCTTGTAATAGTAATGGCACGCAGTTTCAAGGATATGTGACAGAAATAGAGCATATGATTTATTCATAAATGCTGAATTCAATGTACAGACTGACACGTCTTTGCAAACGCAGCCATGACAGCACGACCGAATTAAATACTAATCAAAATAAATTCAATAGAGCTTTGGATAAAGTTATATGGCAATTAGGCCACCTTATTCAAATATTGAAAGACCAATGCTAGAGGAAATAGTGGCTTTGTTTTTACGGCAACCACAGGTTACTGCGTACGCAACACTTAAAGGTAACTCCGGCGATTTTGCGATAATCACTTATTTTAATAAAACTTTGAACGCGTTGTCTCATCGGTCCAGTAGGGATATGTGCCAAACAATCATGACTGGGATATGTGCCAATAGAATCATGAGTCATTTAGTTTTTAGAAAGCCGTTTTTAAAAACTGCTGGCTGATTATAGAATTACACTTCTAACGCGGGCCACCCTGTGTATGTGACGTAAGGGCCTATTTTTTTTCAAAGCCCCACTTTGCCCAGCAGGCGGATGCTGAGCGCGCTTTCTTCCAAGAGGTCAAGACGACGCGAGCACAGTTCAATTTTGTCAGCTGCATACAGCGTGTTAGTCGTCATTGACGTCGGGTCTTACACAAGCACGCACAATATTGAGAAACGAGAAGATCGGACGCGTAAAATGCTTAACGCGAAGGAGTGTCCAAATCAAGAGACGATGCTTTCGCGCTCAGATTGTAGCGGCAACGATCGCTGTGCTTCTCATTGGCTAAGTTCAGACGAGCTGGCACAACTTGATTCCACGCCTTACGCGTGTCAGAAGGGTCACGTGAGCTACGCTTACACCCTGGACAGCTGTTGCGGTGTGTAGCGGATTTCGTGACGTCATCAGATAGGAATTTAGAGACGCCATTCGATACCCATCATAAAGAATAGAACAGTTCTTTGCTTTGGTTTCTGTTTTGACTCATCGTTCACTGCTTACGTAATATTATTGACGAGTACCTGGGAAAAATGAACCACCCTACCTGTTGCAGGGATTTCAGTACTATTTCAAAACATCATTATCTCAGTATTGTCGTAAATGCCCTGGAGTGGCCCTTTAACGAACTCGGTTCTCAATAAAAGAGTTGATGAAGAGCATTTTTGCAAATCTCCATAGCACTGCAGTTCGCCAGTTGAAATGATGGCGTGAGCAAGCGCGAGGCCCACTCAGTGCAAGGTTTCCAACTTATACAACCAGATGCGTGCGACAACTTTTGATGTGTTCCTTGTCGGAGACAGATTATTTTTCACTGGGGATCATGTATCGTACCATGTAATACGGAATGTAATTTTGTTTGATCTGTGTCGATACTATTGAGCGGTGTGCTCTATCCACAAGGAAGCAGCGAAATCTGGCGCAGAGCAGCCTGATCCTGATGGACCAGTGAGCCTATATTATACCATAGAATGCCATTTCATCTGCGTGTTCCCTGAATGGCAATGCTGAAATAGGGCAGGCCAACACCCCACCCTCTCAGAGACACGAACGCATAGAGAAACTTAGTGCGTGTGTGCATGTTTTTGGGAGTGTTAGCATGGATCTGAGGGAATGATGGCGGGGGGGGGGGCGTCACCTGGCCCATCTGGATCGGGTCGCTCCACGCCGGATTCCAGTTTTCCCTTGTAGACTGAGCGCACTATTCAAGACTATTATTTTCTGCCGCAGCCCTGGACCAAGAGTGCTCCAATCGTGTCAGCGACCATCGCGATGTGCGGCAGTGCGGCACAGGCCTTTACTGCAACAAGAACACCTGTACCTGCAAGAAGTACATCGGGGCACCTTGATCGCTTCTTGACGATTTCCCCTACACATATCTGAGCACTTGATGCCTCATATATTTCCACTAGTGATTCCGCTTTTATGTTCAATGTCTTCCTTGCGTAATTCACGGCCTTATTGGCTTATTAAACGAGAGGTTCAGTTTAAAAGGACATACATTTTTGTATGTGTGTGTGTGTCAATGCTGAAGCTCAACTTTTGATTAATTATGTTCAATTGCGTGCAGTGCCGTGTTATTGCGTTAGATTAGTGGGAGCTCCGTGTTAAAATATTTATTGGCGGATAGAACCGCCAACTATCTAAGTGTGTGGTGATAATGCCCGCGGCAACCACTGATCGGAATTGAGATTGTATTAAGTGCAAGATTTTCTTAGCCAGGCTCTTGCTGTAAAAGTAAAGTTATCTCTACGAGTAGAACCCGCAAGTCACGCAAGTGACTGGAAGAAGCATACCAGAATTAACTCTCACAATCGCAGCCTTCTGCAACACGCCTCATTGTTTGGTGCTTATACAAAACAACGCTTAGCTTTATTGGTAGATGGCGAGCTTCATTTCATCTTGTTAACTCAACATAATACGATTAAAAAGAAAACAATGCAAGTCATAGGTGACGCGCAAAAAAATGCACTGCTACTCACCTTATGAGTAAACTACCCGCTTGAAACAGATTATGTTAATACAAATGCATAATACAATGGAAGATGTCTGCATAAAAACTCACAGTGTCACTTGTACATTTATCTAAAAAGCAATCTTCCTTTTTCCTCTCGGTCTATGTATAACGGAGCAGAGAACATAAGCCGGGGCCTCACGTGCCATTGCCAAAGGTCGTTTTGTTTCCTTGAGGTCGCGCACCCTAGGGTTTTGGTCGCCGCCCAAAGCGGGGCACTACAACAATATCTAATGACATCAATTCACGTGACATCACGGCCGAATTTGTGACGTCACGACATCGTGACAAGTTTAGCCGTCTGTGACGTCACATAGCGACGTCCTCACGTGATGATCTTTTGCATCGCTCGTTTCCCGACGCCACATGGACGTTCGCCGCCGACGGTCAATTTTCCCGTTGAATGTAGAATTGATGGCTGATGCCTTAATAAATAAAGTTTGAAAAACGGTGTTCATGGCTGATCTCTGCACAGATTGCAAGCAGCAAACATATACGTTTGAACTTGAGTACAAATTCCGTCTCCGCTGCATCGCATCTTTTCTGAGCATGGATCTGTCGCCTTCGTTTCTTCTTTCCAGGACTACTTCTCAGTGCTCTCTAACCAGTACTCTGTGGTAGAAGACTCCGCAGGATAAGAAGTATGCCTGCAAATGAAAGGATTGGGATAGGTGGTGATTCCTTAATTGCATGCGGGATAATTTATTTAGGTTCACTGCATACACGATAAAGAAATATGGCTTTAATTCTTAATGCATGCATACAGCGTGCCTAGCAGACGATCAGGCATAGGTTTCACGGGTTGCTTATTTAAAAAACCAGCCAAAAATTATTACATATAGGACAGCCGGGTCAGGGACCCGTTCGTTGTATATTTAAGGTTTGCCGCACCCTGCTAGGAGAAACAAAGAAAGAACAAAGAAATACCAACTTGGTAGATCGCCCTTGTCCGAGCAACATACTCTTCCTGTCTCATTTTGTGCGCGCGTGCGCGTTTGTTTCTTTGTTTGTTGTGTGTGTGTGTGTGTGTGTGTGTGTGTGTGTGTGTGTGTGTGTGTGTGTGTGTGTGTGTGTGTGTGTGTGCGTGTGTGTCAGAAATGATAACTTTCATATAGATACCATATTGTGGAACATTAAAAATTATTTAAAAGATAGATCACGTCCGGCCGTCGCTACAAGCGTTATTGTCACGGTATAAGATTAAAAATACAAAAACGTATTGTGCGCTAACGCACAGGCACATAAGAACGACGGCAACAGAATGCGCTAACTTGAACAATTTCATTTCCATGAAACACAAACCTATTTATCCATGCACAGTGGCTCCACCTGTCCACCCACTAGCCAAACAGAAACACCATCTCCTGATCTCTAAGATCAATTGATGGTGCACTCACACGCGCAAAAAAAACATTCTGCAGTGATTGTCCCATAAGTGAAAGCTTAGACAAAAAGATTTGTCTTGGAAGACAAAGAATTCACGGCTGAAAATGTTGGCTCTGGCAGCAATTACTATTCAATTTTTTAGAAATATATACTATGAGATATAACTTACAATGATGCTAAAACGTATATATGAAATTAGAAATGTCAAGCGAGTGCGGATCACGTGCTGCGTGATGTGAACAGGCAGAAAAAGTGTTGCGCACTCGCTACTGGTGGCGCCAACCCCCACTCCCACATTTAAACGCACATATAAACCATATGAAGTGGATGGAAGGATGACCGTCGCTGTAGCTCAGTGGCAGAGCTTCCGGTGCGTGTAGTTACAATCACCGTCATCCTTCTTTCAACGCAGGTACGGGACGGGTTTAAGCTCTCCCATAGTAGAGCAACTAGTGCTCTAAATCGTTACTCACTTTTTCTAAACGCACAGCATAGGATGCATTGTTCGAAGGTCACAGATTTGGCCCCTTCCCGTGGCCAGTTATCTTTTAGTCCACTTTTCCTAACATTTACATTACAACTGCTGCCAATAACATCCCTTACACTTTCACTCGGATAAATGTCTGTCCTCCCTATTATTGTGTTTAACAAAGAAAATGCGGCCCTACGTTTAAACTTCGTTCCTTATTTGCAGAGAAATACGTGTTTTCTACAGCGATTCTTTCTGCGAAAGCCTAGAATGCGAACTTCCACATTTCGTTATGCATTAGCTTAATAAACACAATCAGCCGTACTCACCTGCACAAGTGCAAACGCAAACAACAGCGTTGAGCTGACTGGATCCATCATCTGAAAAGCACAAAAATTCTTCACGTTGGTGTTTATCGTATTAGAAAAATTATATCTGGCCCCTCAAAATAGATAACACAAAGAAAACTTTTTTTAAAGTGTTATCTGTGTAGATCAGTTGGGAGTATTGTACAATACTGCCATCCAAGCAGTATTGTTTCAGGGCAAAGAAAGGTGGGCAACACAGAGTGTAATATGTAGATTTCTACAAAATAATCAAGCAGACTACTTCGGTTTTTCGTATTATTTGAAACTTACGCGTTTCTGAAGCTCTAAATTGCGGACACCTCTTTGTTATTTCTTCTTCTTATCTAACTATTAGAGCTTTGTTCCCAATAAGATGTTCATTATGTCCATGCCTGTTTCCTTTATAGTTTCCTTATTCATACATAAGCTGTTATCTGTGAGTCAGCCTTGTTAGCCCCTACCCGTTATCTATTACAGTCATCGACATCACGTGACGTCAAGTTGATGACTAACTTTTCCCATAACGTCCCAAAGAAGACAAGACGTTTTTGACAAAGACAGGTTCACCTATCAGAACTTCAGCCTGTCTGCTCGAGGCACCTTAATTATCCTCGGCTTCAGAACCTGTATGGTGCTTTACTGAATCCGGAGATAGCGCTTCAGACACGCTCCATTAAAAAAAATGAAAAACGCTAGTCCTCCGTGGAACACGAAGCACCGTTCCAGCGAAACGAAAGAGCATGAATTTTGTGGAGCCAGTTCTGAACTCTCTCGGGGCCTCTAATACAAGTACACTTTCAAGGTATCCGCTTGAATCATCATACTTCTGGTGAAGTAGGAAGGCAGCCACTATGGGATTATTCATTATTCTCCGAGTAAATGAGGCACACGTTATACATTTATGCACACTTTGCTCACGCTATCACTACAGTGGCTACGGACACCAGCGCCGGCGGCGGCGATGGCGGCGAACTACTGCAGCACCAAACTCGGCTCTTGTTGTGATCTCATAACCACGTTCACCCGCAAAGGGATGCAAATCTAAGACGTTCAGCTACATATATGCTGCTGCCACAGTTCGCACAACTATGCACTCAGATATTTTGTATAAACCCTGACATATAATCCTTAATGGAATGAAAAAAGAAGAAGTAAGTCATTAAGTATGTTTAGAATAAATGTTTAACGATTTCTAGTACTTCAAACTCAACTATGGGAGAGCACTGAGCCGTCCCGCTAAAGTCAGACTGTAATTCATGTAATTGTGAAATTGATCAATCGTACTTGCACTAGATGCGACGGCACGCCTTATCGAATTAACTGCATCAATACCCGAGAGGAATCTCAGGGAATAAGCAAATCGAGATCAATTTACATCGCAAACGCACCCAGGATTTACATGTTGTATAATATAGAAATGGTATCTTTTACCAAGCAACACACAGCCATAGAGTGCACAAGCACTTTTTATTAAAAACTTCTTTTCCGAGCCATTCTACAGCAGCGAAATTCACTAAACGCATTTCGTTTTTTGTTGTTTTTGCTTTCAAGTGCAGTGCATGTTAAAAGCATTGTATAGGGAACAAACAGCGCAAGAAGACAGAGGCGCTAGGGGCGCACGGATGAGCACTGACCGACAAGTGATTTTTGTTTGCTGCATATCCTGAAATATACAGCATACACAAAAACGATAGAAATTCGTTCAGTAACCTCTTTCAGCTTATCGTCCACTCATTACAATGCGCTTGCTCAGTCTAACTATACAAGTGTAGAAATCACTTTTCTTTCTCAGTCTGTGCTATATTAACACCATGCTTACACATGCGTCTTCCTGTTTTCCTATATGTGTGCCGACTCGATGAATAAACTTGTAATTTCTGGTTAGCGGTTAAGAACTGTCGCACCTTCAAAGCGCGGAACAGAACCACAATCTCGGCAAAGCACCCTAAGTGACTGCAAACATCTGTGTTCACATTATAATAGCGCTCCTCTTTCTCAAGTCTTTCTCTCAAGGACCTTCTAGTCTGCCCAATATACACTTGACCGCATGACAAGGGTATAGAATAGACAACATTGCGCGTGCATTGTAGACAATTTGTTACAAGTGTGTAAATCATGACTCTGCAGTTTGGGACGCGCGTCGCACAAACTAACTTCTATAAATCATTCTAGCGTCGCGCGCTTCTGCGGCATTGTACTTTCAGCCCTTACCTTGGTATTCACGGCTGCCCAGACGGCCGCTCCGAAAAGCCATAGAATAAATGGCACCATGCCTAGAATCCACGGCAGCATCAGTCTGGATATTTTCTGCGTACGAAAAGTTTATTTCAGTGACAGCGCTTTCAAGAACAATGTATACTTTAACTCGACATAGGAGTTGCCTACAATAGAGGGAACTGTGGCGCTACGCTCGTATTACCATAACGGGACTGGCATACAGTATATGGGTTTGTCGTAGACTTCATGCTTGCGATTTTGAACGCACTTGCGGCTTCGTTTGCGGCTGTCTTCTGGATTTCGTTTCCGATAAGGGAACGGTTCATTTTAACACCATCACTCGTGAGTTGATTCGAACAGGAGAGCTTGATGGTGACAGGGTGTTGTGTGATATAGCTCCACTTCTGCGCAAATGTTCCCTGCAATAAAGTGACAGCAGGCCACACAGAGCCAGACGGAGCCAAAAAAAAGGAAGCTTAAACAGATCTATGCACTACCCATCATTCTCATAACAGGTAGTCCCTGGTAGCATTGTGCACTACCATCATTGTCATGATGGTAGTGCTCTATTGCGTCATTCAGTTGCTGCTCCAAAAGATGCTGACGCCTCATTTTTTTTCTAGTGTACCAATATGAAACACTGTAATACTTCTTTTCTGTTTTCGTACGTTCTACAATACATATTTTCTTAAGTAAAAATACATTTGCAATTGCGTATTTGGGTATGATTTGGGAATGCCTCATTGTTATTTAGTCTTTAATATTCTTATTTATTGATTGAAGGGAAAGCATTGCCTTCAACGAGTGGTGGGATGCTGATGTTGGGTTGTGCCCCTCTACTGGTTGAAAGTATTGCTGTTTTCATCGCATCTACTCGAGTCAAGGAAAGCGTCAAGTCAATCGAAAGGCATGTAAAGACCCTTTTGAGTAAATTCCGAACGCACGGTCCAGTGCCTACATATACGGGGGCTAGTGAACGGTTGTGCAACGCGAACCATCGGTTTTTAGGGGCGAAGCGAAGCTCCTTAAGCCGTGGGTCACGCGTCCGTGATGTATGTAGTAGTAGTAGCAGTAGTAGTATAGTAGTAGTAGTATAGTAGTAGTAGTAGTAGTAGTAGTAGTAGTAGTAGTAGTAGTAGTAGTAGTAGTAGTAGTAGTAGTAGTAAGTAGCCACCAGCCACCTCCATGGCTGGACTAGAGGACCGGCATGCACGCACTCTTTTGAATTGAAAGGAAACCTTCACACGTTAATCCTAAATGAAAAGATGGTTGTTTCTGATGAAATAACCTACAGAGACGAGAATCGGTGACTTAATCCCCAATAAACTTTGCCTTGAATTTCCTGCTTACGCAAAAAAAAAAAGCTCGTAACAGAAGGACGCACCATGAGCCCCATCTTATCAGGAAAGGTTGCCACGTTAAACTCACAGGGCGTAACTTCTTTGGTTTTAGCAAGATATCGAAGGTTGGGCCAAAGCGCCATAAACTAGCAGCGGTGAAAGGTGGCAACCAGACAAGAAGCGCAAGCCGTAAGAGAGTGTGCACGTGCCGCTCCTCTAGTTCGGTTGTGCCACCTCTCGTTTAGTCCTTGGAATGTCCGCTGGATGGCGGTAGTTCTATATGATGAATATATGATGAAAATATGCAATATTGCGGTACGTGAAGTGTTCACTAGATTGACGGACGGATGAACAGACGCTCGGACAGACACACGGACACACAAACGGATTAACGGACACATGAATGGACGAACGCACGGACGGACGGATGCACGGATGGGCGCATGGACGGGCGGATGGACGAACGCAGGGACGGACACTAGATGGATGGTTGGACGGATGCACGAATGGACGTACGGACAGACGCATGAATGAATGCATGGATGTATGGATGGACGGATGGACGAACGGATGCATGGACAGACGGGCGGACGCATGGATGGTCACACAGACGGACGCTTCGGAGGATGGAAACGTGGGCTAACGGATGCTTCGCCCCACTCATCATCATGCACTTCGTGGATATGCCGTTTTTTTTTTTTTTTTGCTAGCAGACGCATCGTGCGTCAGCCTTGCGATGCGAAAGAGGGTGTAGGAGTGACAGTTGGTACGAGACGCGAGCATGAACATTGGGGATGTGGACGGCGCCGCCGACGCCAGATCCGCGACCTCGTGTGACTAAGAAATGCTCCGCATTTAAAATCCAAGGATTCCACTCGGTTACCGCACGAAAACATATTGAGCAATGTAATAACATGTGATTGTTTAGTAGTATTTCTAGGTTCACAAGGATGCCTACAGCACGGCCCACCAATTGCGGAGAATTTTCACTGAAGGATCTTCTTGGTTACCTAAAATATCACTTCAGAAACAGTAGGAGTGTGAGACTAACAATAGCAAACAAGAACAGACATACAGACAATGAACATCATTAAGACCCATGGTAACACCTCTTGTATAAAAAGCGTAGCGTGAAGAAAATGTGCAAACATCTGGGTTTCGACAAAAACTCAATGACCGCATCGTTGCTCTTGTAAAATCACATATGCAAATTTTACCCACCTTTAACTATACTCGGTTTAAGAAATTCCCTTCAGCACTGTGGAAGCTACAGGCCCCTCAGCCGGTAGGAAGGGCGCTTAGCCCCTCTACATGTATTCATTCGCGCCGTGTCGTCTGTTCACCGTGTATTCACGGCGTCTGTTCAATGGATTGTTGGTATTATGGCTAGTTAATTGACTTTAAAATGCAGTAAAGCTATTAAACAAGCAACTATATCAGGAACTTGTTGAAGCGTGAATTCGTTGTTTTGCTGAAGATTGGTAGAGTCTTATGCCGGCGAATAACCTTACTTTGTGGCTGTTTCTCTCCGATTCTGTTCGTGGCTTTCGTGTGTTTCTCAGTCGAAGCGCTCCTTCACGTCTCCCGCTGCAATATCCTTTTCTCTCTTTTTCGATCCACCGAAGGAGCATTCGACGCGCACGAAATGCAGTGCGAGATTGTATGCCCGATATTTGGAGGTGCAGCGTTCTTGGTCTGACGACGCAGTTCGACCACTGCCTCAGCGCGTTAGGCTTAGTAGGTGCGGCTGCAGCATATCTCGCCAATATCGACCAAACTTACCTGATGCTTTAAAGCCAGAGTGAGATGAAACAAGTCGATGGCTGATTTCACCATTTTAGGGGCGAAGCTTTATGTAGCGGCTACCGTTCGTCCCTCGTAGCCGTTGTTGTATGTAACGAGTATAACATTTTGACCTCCAAGGTTGTGCTGGTGAGAGATTTCTTCTGTGCGTTGTTGAACAATAAAAATAGGGCTCAATGTACATGCCAACGGCTGTTAATAGGGAATGAAAAACAGGAGCATTCAGCTTTTAGTTAACGCGCACGCTGCAATCCCCATTAGCAGCCATTGGCATGTACATTAAGCGCTCTCCGACAAGAAAGGGTTGCTACGTTATACTCGCTGGGGGTAACCTCCTTAGTTGTCGAAATGTTTAGCGAGCGTTGAGCCGCAGTGCGATAAAAACAATGAACTAGTATGTACCATGAATGAACTCGAGGTGGTTAAAGGAGAGAAGTAGATACGAAGCGCAAGCAGTAACAAAGTAAAAGCCGAATTCTCCTGTCTCTTATTTCCATTAGCAGCCTTTGGCATGTACATTGAGCACTATCTTACAGGAAAAGATTGCTACTTTATAGTCGCTGGGCGAACCTCCTTGGTTTTAGCAAGGTTTAGCGAGCGTTGGGCCGCAGTGCCATGAATACAGTGAACTAGTATATACCATGAACTCGAGGTGGTTAAAGGTGGGAAGTAGACCCGAAGCGCAAGCCGTAACAAAGTGTGCGTGTGCCACCTCTCGTTTAGTCCTCGGAATGTCCGCTGGATAGCGGTGCTTCTATATGGGGAATATATGATGAAAAGATGCGAGATGGTGGTACTTGGAGTGTTGAATAGATGGACGAACGGACACACAGACAGATGCATGGATGGACGCATGAACGGATGCAGGGGTGGATGCACGGACGAACGCAGGGACGGATGCACGAACATCGTTCACTCCATCACTCTTCATCATTCACTTCGTGGATATGCTGCCAATTTTTTTTTACTGCTGTCAGTGCTGTAAGCGTGTAGCAAGAGCAAGTCCGGATAGAAGCGGGCAGTCACTTCTGCATGAATGCTGCCATGTTGATTCTTAAACCCAGTTATTGGCGGTAACACAGTCATCAGTGTTCAAGAACTCACGGCCACTATACTATTAATGAGATCTAGCAAGAAGGATAGCCGAACGCTTGTAGGAGGGTGTACGCCTTGTTAAACAATTGGTGCATCAGGAATCAGGCATTTGGGATAGTGATGTCATGCATTCGTCTTTTGTTGTTTCGCTACGCTATCCTTCAGAAAACAAAACAAATAACCGGCACATCAATTGCTGCCTAAATTGGCGGGATATGAAATGTTGGGCTAGATACTCTGTACTGTCAAGCAGTTTGACAAGCACAACAATCATATACTTCGAGTGATGCATAATTGTCCCCCAACTAATTCCCGTGTAATTGTTTCATAACACACACTTTGCATATTAAGGTGAAACTTCTATAGATGTTTCATGAAACGCCAGAATGGACCATTGACGCCAACACAAGTGATGCAATAAATCACCATGGTGTGACGGCATCCTTGTAATGACGTCCCACGTCAGCGAAATATGAGATATTCATGACGCTATCACACGAAATCGTTGCTTGGACGAATGCGGGTCAGTACCGGAGGCGACGCAAAATGACGAGAGCTGCAAAGGGCTTCCGATGCCCCAGATTTGGAAGGCACTGCAAGACCGATGGAGAAAGACAAAAAGGAGGAGGGAGAGGGACGTCAAGCCGCCGGCTTTTGCAAGTAAACAAGTTTTGAGTCAGCATTGTCGGCCCAACATTTCCCCATTTGCATTATGATCACGCAAGCAACGAGACTTGCCGAGAGTGTGGTACTCGGTATATAGCTTTTATCCGAAGCGTGCTTGTTCTTCGCAGACAGGCTGGCTCACGCAGAAAGTTAAAAAAAATGACGGCATATCCACAGAGTGAATGATGCATAGTGGGGCGAAGCATCCGTCCGCCAATTCGTTCTTGCTTCCAACCATCCATGCGTGCGTCTGTGTGGCCGCCCGTGCGTCTATCCGCCCGTCCGTGCGTGCGTATGTTCATGCGTCCGCACATTCATCTGTGCGTCCCTCCCTGCTTTCGTCCATGCATCCGCTCCTGCGTCCGTTCATGCGTCCATCTGTCCGTGCATCCGTCCATGCATTTGTCTGTGTATCCGTTCGTCCATCTAATCAACACTCCAAGTACCACCACCTCCAATCTTTTCATCATATATTCCTCATATAGAAGCACCGCCATCCAGTGGACATTCCAAGCACCGAACGAGAGGACGCACACGTACACTTTCTTACGGCTTGTGCTTCGTGTCTACTTCCCACCTTTAACCACCTGGAGTTCATGGTATATACTAGTTCACTGTATTCATGGCACTGCGGCCCAACGCTCGCTAAACCTTTTTAAAACCAAGGAGGTTACGCCCAGCGGGTATAACGTAGCAACCCTTTCTTGTCTTCTGTGCGTTGTTGAACAACAAAAAATTCACAGCGTGCGCGTTAACTAAAAGCCTAATTCTTCTGTCTCTCATTCTCCCTTAGTAGCTATTGGCATGTACATTGAGCACTATCTTTTATTGTTCAACAATGCACAAAAGAAATATCTCACCGGCACCACCTTGAAGGTCAAAATGTAATACTTGTTACACACTACTACTACTATTACGGACACGAGGGACGAATGGGTGCCGCTATAAAGCACTTCGTGTCAGAAACTTTTTGATCGAGCCGATATCATATGTGCTTGTCGGAGTTTTTGACTGCGTGCTCGATACTACACGAGACGTCAAGGGTCCCGGCCAAGGCGCCAACAGTTATTACGCCAGAGACCTACAGCGATTAGTTCAAGATCTCAAGCTGTCAGATGGGTGGTTAACTCTACATGGAGTCACCTTCGTCGCAACCCGCGCTTGTGCCATTCAACAAAGCCGAATTGATAGAGTTTATTTGCCCGAAGACGTTTTAGCGAACCTACAAGCATGTGAGGTGGTCCAGCTTGCGCCAAGCCAGCAGAAACTCAGCGATCATGCTCCATTACTCTTCACGTTGAACGTGAGCACAGCAACGAGAATCCACAAACCATGGAGGATGGACACAACTATTCTTCATGATGACCAAAGCATTTCCTTACTTCAAACTGAGCTGGCGGCCTCACTGGCAGAAGTGGGTTGCATAACTCTGACTACATGGGACCACTTGAAATCTCGCTGGTGCCTTATAGCTCAACAGGCAGGTAAAGTACGCCATGCTCGCCTCACGGCCAAGATGAATGAGATTCTCCGACACATTCAAATTATTGAACAAGGTGGGTCAACTACGTTCGCTATGCTCGAATACCTTGAAGCACAAAAAATTAAGTATCAAAATCTTTTAAAGCAGAGGTCCCAGGCTACAAGGCTCGCAAGAGAAATGCACTTATCTACAGATGAAATTGAAAACTTGACATATGCGCAAAGAAACCGAGATCGTCGATGCCAGCCCCGCTACATTGATGAGGCACTGAAAGAGGATGGTACCATTGTTAATGACCCGGACGAAGTTCAAAAAGTTTTCCGAGACTACTTTGCAAAACTGTTTACCGCAGACCATGGCGCACAGGACGACGAGTTTACTGCTAAACTCTCAGCCTTTTGCGAAGGTTTGCCATCGCTAGGTTCGGAAGACAGTTTAGTATTATATGCAGAAACTGATAAAGAAGAAGTATGGTACGCCCTAAAGTCAATGAATATGTCCACGTCACCAGGCCCAGACGGAATACTCACGGGATTTTATCTGCGTTTTTTTATATCTAGGGAGATGTGATCACCGATCTCGTGAATATTTTGTTGCGTGATGGCCATAAACCACAGTCCTTCAGCGAAGGAAGGGTGATTCTATTACTGAAAGAGGGTATGGAGCCGTCAGGTTCTAAATCGTGAAGGCCCATTACCCTTCTAAACGCAGACTATTAATTTAGTAGCCACGCTGATATCACGGTATCTGTGGCCTTTTATGGAAGAGATTGTGTCCTCCTTGCAGTCATAAGCAGTACCAGGACGTTCCGTCTTCGTACCTCTTACAATCATCAGCGACCTCTTTGCATAAGCCAAAGGAAAACAAATCTCAGGAGTATATATTTCTCTTGATCAGGCCAAAGCATTTGATAGAGTTAAACATGGGTATCTTTTCGTTATTTTGCGCATATTTGGCCTCCCAGAGCAGAATGTGTGACTGGTAGAAATACTTTATCAGGACCTGTCAAGCTGACTTTATTTCAACAATGAAGTGACCAGAAGCTTTGCAATTCAAAAAGGAGTGAGGCAAGGCTGTCCGTTGTTTCCGGTATTATTCATTTTGTCTCTAGAGCCTTTGGTTAGAAAGGTTGCAAACTGCGAGCGCATAGTGGGTTACCCTATGCCAGGCGAGGAAACTTTTGAAATTGTCGCATACGCCGATGATATTTCGGTATTTTTTCGTAACTTGTCTAGCTATAGTACATTTTTTGACATTTTTGCTGAGTATTCCTATCTGTCTGGTGCTCTTTTAAACACCACCAAATGTAAGGCATTGCGCTTTGGAGGCTTCAGAGAACTATTGCCAGGAGGCTTAGAATACGTTCAAGCTGTTAAGGTGTTAGGCGTTCACTTTGAGGAAGGAGACGTATCAAAAAAGACCTGGGATGACGTGCTTAGGAGAGCTACCGATGTCATAGCAGCAGCCACTCATTTTAACCTGCCACTAACGGCAAAAGCAACATTGATCAAGACACGGGCATACGCTTTTGCCTTTTACATAGCACACATCGCCCTGCTACCTCGTCGTGTTACAGGACGCCTCACCTCTATGGCGGGGACCTTCCTCTCGGGAGAAAAACCAGCGAAGGTATGGAGGAAATTTTTACAGCTTCCCACAAACCGTGGAGGCTTGAGCCTCCTAGATATACCAACGTTCACGAGAGCGCTGACTGCGAAAACAACACAGAAGCTGTTCGATGACAGCAACTACCCCGGGTACAGGCCCATGATGTACTGAAGCAGTGCACTGAAAGGTACTTTCACGGCCAATCCGTACATCAGACCACGAGCAGAAATTCTGCTTAAGATTTACAGAGCTGCCAGTGGCTTAAAGAGAACAGTGGAATCAATAGGTTCATGTTTTCTGGAAGATGTTTCATCGCAAGAAATAAGCGAAATGGTGACAAGTAGCACACTGAGCAAAGAGGAAGAAACAGCATCCTGCACGAGAAAATGAAAACGATGGCGTTGCGATCGCATACCTAATCAGGTGCGTGAATTTGATTGATTGAGAAGATGGAGGGCATTGCCTACGCGTTACCGGTTAGCACAATGGGGAGTTGTTCCAAATGACCGCTGCCCAAACTGTGGCAAAAGAGAGACGACCCAACATGCTCTGTTTCAGTGCTCGGTGGCGAGGGGCGTCTGGCACATGGTGCAACGCCTCTTTGGCTTTCGCACAGTGCGCATGGGAACAGAACGTGGGCTGTTTGCAAGACTGGTCTTTACAGTTACCTTGTACGTACTGTGGCGGCGACGCTGTTTAGAGGAAGTACGGCACAAGCCGCAGAGAGGCACCTATCCCGCACTACAGAAAATTCGGTTCATTGTGTGGAATTACTTAGATCAGCAGCTGGAAACTCACAGCGAAGAGGCCTTCCTTCAACGATGGCACACACGTTTCTTCAAAGTAAGAGAGGGACAGCTGAGGTTTCCAGTTGTCCCGTACTAGCCATGCGCCCACTCTAGTACGCAAGCATAAGTGTTATCCTGTAAAATATGATTAACTTGAATCTTTTTTAATTTTCCTTTTACTTGTAACATTTGGATAGCAAGTGATTAATTAGATTTTGGTGCTCATGCGTAGGATGTATACACTGTTTTTGTTTTCAATGTTTCGCCCGCCGCGGTGGTCTAGTGGCTAAGGTACTCGGCTACTGACCCGCAGGTCGCGGGTTCGATTCCCGGCTGCGGCGGCTGCATTTCCGATGGAGGCGGAAATGTTGTAGGCCCGTGTACTCAGATTTGGGTGCACGTTAAAGAACCCCAGGTGGTCAAAATTTCCGGAGCCCTCCACTACGGCGTCTCTCATAATCAAATGGTGGTTTTGGGACGTTAATCCCCACAAATCATCAATGTTTTCAATGTTTCGTTTGTGTACGTACAAGTTAAGTGTACAATAAACTTCCCTTTTTAGCCGCTAAAAACTGAACATCGCCTAGAGTACTAAAACGTCGCCATGCCAAACTAGTCATTTTAAACTAGTCATGCGAAATCAACCACCTCTAAAAGGCAGTTCTCAGCGTTAAGGCTTACCCATAGCTGAGTGTGTACAGAGCTTCAAACCATTCGCAATTTATTTTAAACAAGTCGCGTGTGTTTCAGAGGCATCGGCGGGCGATTTCGAGGCTTTGCATAAAAATAGTACTTTTGGACACTATATGCGAGTACTAATAAGTGCCTTTGTTTACCTGAATCAGTACCACACTAAAAAAATTTACAGGCGTGGATAAACTAAATTGTGGGATTCTTATGTGGACCATGCGCAGAAACTCGATTACTCACATCACCAACTCCCTTGACAAAGAGCAACGATACGATGAGCAACAGCGATGCCATGCAAATCCACGTCAAGTGAAACTCCGAGAATGCTGTGGAAAGAAAGAAGACAACACTTCGTTAATATATGGAGTGTTCGTATCAAGCAATGCGTTTCAGTTTCAGTTTATTGATTATACTAGGGTAGGAAGGTTACGTATGTATGGCAATAATAATAATAATAATAATAATAATAATAATAATAGTTGCGGCTTAGCATCCCAAAGCCACCACATGATTATAATAGACGTCGTACTGGAAGGCTCCGAAAATTACGGCCCCTGATGGTTCCTTAACGTGCACCTCAACTAAGCACACGGGCCTCAAGCATGCTCGCCTCCATCGAAAATACAGCCTCTGTGGCCGGATACATTATATAGCTGCATAGCATAGAAATTTTATTTCTACTGTATAGACAGATAGATAGATAGATTGATTGATTGATATTGATTGATTGATTGACATGCATATAGATAGATAGATAGATAGATAGATAGATAGATAGATAGATAGATAGATAGATAGATAGATAGATAGATAGATAGATAGATAGATAGATAGATATAGATAGATAGATAGATAGATAGATAGATGATAGATAGATAGATAGATAGATAGATAGATAGATAGATAGATAGATAGTAAAAATGGGATCATAATATAAACAAGATTATTTTAAGTAAACCCCAGATCACCTCATTATTCTGTCGTATTCTGGGAATGCTGTATCTGATGCAATATTTCGACTATTTTTCGTTACAAATTAAGATTCCTGTGTCATAAGTCGTAATCAGGCGGCAGGCAGTAGAATGCACTTGATGCTAATGCCTGTCACCCCCCTTTATTTAACAAGCCAGAGAGGTACACAAGATTTTCTGCAGTTTTCAAGGACAAAATGCATGAAAAATGTCAGATACCACCCTAGCATGGCCATATCCGATGGAGGCAAACATGTTGTATAGGCCCGTGTGCTCAGATTCGGGTGCGCGTTAAAGAACCCCAGGTGGTCAAAATTTCCGGAGCCCTCCACTACGGCATCTCTGATGATCACATCGTGGTTTTGGGACGGTAAACTCCACATATCTATCACCCTAGCATGGTCAAAAAAAAAAAACGGCGTGACAAAGGTACTTGCCGCGGGGAGTGTGAAACCCGAAACCTAGGGCTGGCCTCGGTTACGGCTTGTGACATTTATTTTTCATACTATTTTTCTAGAGTTACAAAAAAATGAAAAAAAAAAACGTGTCAAGCTATGGCCGGTAACAGCCCAGAATAATTTTGAATGCCGCCCACAGCCGTCGCTGTCACACCCTCAGAAAATAGCTTCTCGCTGTTTGCAAACAGTATGGCGTCACTGCGAGCACTCCGCCCACCATTCTTTCCCTCGGAACAGGTGCTGGTTGGCAAGAATTTCCACAGGCAGGATTTTGCTGCATAACGGCGCTGCGTACGTCGACATCCATTCGACAGAAATTTCAGTCAATTGCTATTGTTTAAGGTCACAGCTTTTAAAAGGAAGGGTCACTGCCTCTAATGCACGATTTCCTTAGGTTAACGTGTGACAATTTGCTCGTCGTAAATGGCAGCCAAACGTTCGCCTTCGAAGGCGAATGTTCTCCATGTTCACGGTCATTGCGCTTTCACAAATATTTGCCTTAAATGAATATGAACGCACTCAATTTCCGTCGTGACATGTGCACTGCAGTTTTAAACCGGCTGCATCACTGGCTATAGCATGGTTTCCCACTACTGTGAGTCACGTCACGGGTAAGATGCTTCTTCACAACAAAAAGTTCAGGTCTGAGATGAATGAAAAAAAACAAAGAGAATTTCTCTGTGCTTAAGCCGAGGTTGACAAATTAGCGAGAAATATAAAGCGAAGTCTTCCCTTACGGCGTTCCTCATAATCCACGGAATATTTATGCTATTTTAAAAACCGATAACTTTATCATATAGATGATCTCCTACGCGGACACTTTGCCACATCTGATGCCCAAAACGTGTTTTTATACTTACGTTGCTCTTATAAACCTGATGCACAACTTGTGATGCCCATTGTCACTTCATAAAATTGAAGCCTTAAACATATGAGAAACAAGAATCTCCGCTGCTTCGCAGCTAATATGCAGCTTCAGCAATGCTAAAACATGCTAATAGCTCATGCAACGTCGTATCTTTCAGCCCGGAGGTCATGCACGATTTTTTTCCCCATGCTGCACAAATGCTGAAAGGTACCCATGGACCTGCACATCATCGCATCTAATGCATTTTTACCTTGAGTAAAATGTCGAATCGTGATGTTCGGTGAACATTCGGTCACTGCCACCAGCCCGCACCGAGTGCCGAAGTTTTCGCACATCGTTATTAACACACCACACACAATATTTTCAGCTTCACCGTTCGTAAAGGTGAACAAATAATGTTGATGTTTTTCAACGTGCACTACACGCCACAATAAACACTGCACATTTCCGAAGACGACGCCGCAGTTCTTCGCACAGGCCACCACGTGTGTTTACTACTTTAAGCTAAACAGCCAACCAGCGTGGAAAGTAATTCATCACGCCATTTACCACGCACAAATATGTTCCCTGACAGCTACCACATCTAAACATGTCACAGTAAGCTGAAGGTCAAGCATTAAAGAAAGAACAAAAAATATTGTCCCAAGTAAGGCACTACTGTACCACGCTGAGGCACCAGCGGAAATGTTTTGCCAACCGGCCTTGCACGTGGATCAGTAACGTCACGCTTTGAAGTACCCTAGTATAGGTCTATCGGCAAAGATATGTGTATTTTGAGTGCACGAATTACAATACCTCCGGGCAGACTCTCGAAATAACAAAAATTACAATTGTTCATTTGTGTGATGTCAAGGAGATTCCCAATACTTCATGTAGGTGATTTTTCAGTACAGACTGAGTGAGGCTCGTGTCGACAGATGAACTTCGTGGCAAATTTCAGCAAGGATACCGATATCGCCACTTTGTAGAAGGTAATAGTTTTAGGTAGAATTTTTAATTACTAATATGCGTAGCACCTAAATTAGCAGCACAAAAGTACTTGAGGTTACAACTGCAAGCACCTTGCACGAATCTCTTGTGCAGATTAATGGCAGGCGTGTCGCAGTATACAAAGGATGGAACTTGTATTATATAATTAGGTTGTAAATGGCTTAACTGCACAAATGCGATATCTCCCTGAAACTATGGCTGAATTTTTGGTACCAGGAAAGTACCTTCACTGTTTACAAAACAAAGGCCCTCGAAAGTTTCCGGTTTTGTCTATAAGCATTGCCTGCGGCGGCGAAAAAGAGTAGTTGCAAATAACCAAGAACTTATGGCAACAGACGTACACGGAGGTACCGTGACCAAAGATAGCACCGACGTTTTGTCATTTCTTGTAAACCTCCTTGCCTACAACCCGAAGGCTTTTCAACAATTTTCCGTCAGTGTTTAGAGAAAAATTTCAAGTAAGTATGCGTCTAATCTAAACACGAGCTTATGAGAAAAATCGGTTCATTTTGCACACCATGCATGCTTTTATACGAAAGTGTAAATAGAGCGTCTCTTCTCTGAAAAAACCATAGATACATGCTTTCAGCTTTGGTGTCCAGGAACGGTAAATTAGGTGACACTAAAGTTTTGCGGTTCATGTTGCGAACACAGCCTGCCATCGGGCGGGCGGCTAACGTCAGCGGAGTTGCTGCGAGCGCCCGATGCGGCTGCGAAATTTAAAAAAAAAAAAAAGTCTTTTTTAAGGCCTAGGCTTCACTAAATCTATCAGCTATCATCCTTTTAGACGCGTTTGCTCCTCCTCTCCAGGCATAAATTCCAGCCTCAGTGCTATACGCAGACTCTTGGCCGGGGGGCAGTAGCTCCCCAAAAGTATTTTATGCCACGGAAGAGTGGACCGCATAATTTTAAAGACCGTATGATACTTTAATGATGAATTCTTGGTCTGCCTCTCAGTCTTTCTTTTTGTCAGTCACATTATTCAGCCACCCGGCCAAAGTATAGGTACTTGCTGAACGCCCAGCCATCTTTAACTGGTGGCTGCGTTCATACTTGTGAACATAGTCGGTCAAAAAGCAAATTATACGCATATCTGATGCGCAACCATAATGCGTAGGTATTAGGTGCTGTGTTATTTTACTAGAAAAAACATACATAGGTCATTTTAATGGCCCTAGGGTTTCTTCGGCTGAGCTGAAAATGCAAAAGTGTACAAGAAAGAAGGCCGGCAGAAGGCTGTCGTCTTTGGACGACATTTGCAGCGTGGCATGCAGATACGAGGCCAAATTTTCTCTATACCATCCCTTCATTCTACGCTCTTTAGTCACTGGCGTCCGTTCTTTCGCGCATCGACAACAGCCAAATGTCCGTGGACACTACCCTATCAAGTGCCCGAGAGAAGACGACACAACAGAAGGTGACAAAAGCTCTCTTGAATTTCCTACGCGACACGGACTTGAACAAGCAGCTGCAACAGCAATGTCACACACCGCAAAAGACAAGACTGGACTATGACTGAGTGTGCGCGCGTGTGCTGCCGAATGTGCTGTGTTTATCTGTCTTTCCTCTCTGCTCTCTCATCTCCCCCATCCCCCTCCCATGCGCAGGGTAGCAAACCGGCTGCCTATAGGCTGGTTAACCTCCTTGCCGTTCTTTTCCTCTTATTTTCCTTCCTTTCTTTCCACACCAAAGTGCTGTGGGATGATGCCTTCTCTGAAGGACCTCTCGAGGTCCACTTTTTTTTTTGATTCAGCGGATTCGGGTCGACACGGACTATATATAAGTTCTCTCACACAAGCTTCGTTTAAGTATATTTATTCAAATATTTTTCTCTCTCTTAAAATCAACACCTCACACTGTGGTGATCTCAAACGTTGTCGCTTAAGCACTGTACTTATGTGGACTTGTTATTGGCCTTAGATACTTACAAGACTCGGCGTACGATGCAGACCCCGCCAGGATTATGAAAATACTTTGAATCTGCAAAAAGAAAAATTCCATTAATGGCAGAGATAACCAAACTTTTGCTGATGTGCAAATAATGCGCGAACTTTGCTTCGAAAGAAAGGATTCGAATCTTATATGCTATTACGCTCCGGTGTAGAGGTAAATCTAACAGAGATAACTGTAGCAACACTAAATGTAGCTAAGACCTTACTGGCATGAGCAAATTACTTTTCATTATAACAAAAGCACAACTCTTGTCGCGAGAGAACGCATGGTAATCGAGAAAACGGACAAAAAAAATGAAATGCTGGTGGTGAAGCCTTCCTTGAGGTTCTGGGATTAAATAATTTTTACATAACTCGTTTTAAGGGGTCCGCTAAATAGTATTCATATCATTATTTATCAGTGAACGTGAATATCATTGCGTCGTAAGCGAGGCAAGGCAAGCTTCGTGAAATTTCATTGAGCCATGGTGGCGAAATTGTGAGAAAGGGAATCTGTGACTACACACTGCACTGACGGTGCCGGTCATGAAGTAAAAAAAAAAAAGTCAAACTATGAGAATATCTTTGAGCTCGTTATATAAGGAACGTAGTATCGCGAAAACAACGAAAATAAGTTACCCAAACAGTAATTTACCAAAGTCTTAAGTGTTCTAGAGTTTCCCTTTAGTGTCCCCTCAATATCAAGCTATTTCTACGCCAGTACGTTCCCATAGAAGTAGTATAGAAGTTATAATATTAATAACTAATCATATAATTATTGCTATTCCTAATATTGTTATGAATATTATTGTTGTTGTGTTCGTTGTTGTTGCTGGTGTTTTACCTGTCATAAAACCACAATATGATGGTGACGTACACCATAGTGAAAAGGCTCTTAATAATTTAGACCAGCTGGGGTTCTTTAACATGCACTGGCATCATCACAGTGCATATGCATCCATATTTGACCGCCATATTCCGTATAAAATTTTATTCTATAATTATTCTATACCACATTGTTTGCTTGTTGTGCTCACTGCCTGTAGTGAAGTTTCCTCGTGAGAACGCGTTTTCCGGCGACAATGCTCATTCGTTCACCTTACGTTACCTAAACGTTTTCATTAGTTATGGACAGTCGCACAGCAAATATTCAAAACTTTAAGCGGGCAAATGTAGGAGCTATAGTGCCTTTATACAAATTTGATTACTTATCTGAAACACTGCGACATTGTGTAGAGCTCGTGCTGGAGTGGGTGGAGTTGGGGGGGGGGGGGGGGGGAGGCGAGCGAAAGAGGGCACGCCCCCTCCTTTTGCACTTCGTCTATTTACAGCGTGCGGATCATAAGAGCTCACTTGGAGGTCTAGAGGGAACGAGGAGCTGGGGTGACACTACACCCTCACCCATAATCCAGAATCCAGGTAACGCGTGCGTGTAACCACCTTGAATTCTTGTTCTGCCTAAGGTATGCGATGTAACACGTCTTTTTTCACCACGTTTAGCCCCGCCAGGAGCACATGTAAAAGCGCCGCATCAGCAAAAGCGCCGCAGCATGCACATGCAGAAAAAAGTGCACACGTAGTACTACACTCTACACATAGCCTCGAAACACAAAGTCAAATGTATATGAGACACTTGTTTTCATCGGGAAAAAGATTGCGACCCACGAGAACCCGAAAGAAAGGGGGAGAGAAAGGGGAGGGAGGCCTTTGTCGAGCATATATATATAAAGTTCGTGCAACGGTGGTCAAAGCTTACGATTATGAGTGTAACCAGTATTCCTTGAAAATTGTGAAATAATTTCGAGGATGTTATTCTGCTTTGCTTGCAAAAGCATTGCTGGATTTCACGCACTTTCCAATTCGCAAACAGCAACGCCAACTATTGAACGAAATTCCGGCAGCAGCATGTGTTTTTTAGTCTTTTGAAAACCCATGAAACTTTTCAGTAGTTCAATTTCAGAGTTGGTGGCGAATATTCCACGAATCGTAGATTACACAAAAATAAAAAGGGATAATTCAGACGAGCCTACATCACGACATACACTTCCAAGAAACAGTGGCAGTTTCTTCTCATTGCACGTTACATGGAAACTCGATCCCAGAGCGATTTTGCAGACCCTCTTGAAGATAAATATTGTGCAACGTGGATGAAACAGCAACATACAATTTAGCATCTAAAACCAATACAGAAGAGCTCTGTAGCGATAGAGAAACAAAATAAAACGGATCTCCAGCTTACCACCGACACCATTCCGATGAAGATGTTACCCGTCCGGAGCTCAAAGTACCACAGGAATTTCTTCATGATTTTCTTGTGTTTGTAACTCTCTGGTGTCTCTTGTACTTCTATGTACAAGTCCCACTTGGTTTACAATTCACGTAATTATATCGTGACGAAAACCTTGCCAACAATTGGTTGAGCTACCAGTCAGACACCGCCAACACGTGCATCACTGCCGCCTCGACATCCCGGAAGTGACGTAACCGTCGCGGACGGGCTTATCACACGTTGGCGCACGTGTGACGTTCCCGGATGAGCGGGGGAGAGTTCAAAATAAAAACACAGGAAAGGATCAAGAAGGGTGTTTGTTGGTTCGTCGTGTGAAAGGCCAGATATGGCAAATAAGTGTTCTCGCTTTTGTCATGCCCCATTCACGCGTTTACACAAACTGACTCCCGCTGTTAATTCATAAAATGAATCAGCGATTGCTGGTATTGGTTTTGAGACGGCCTCTCTGCAATGCGGCAGCTATCGCAAGTTCATGCCATAGCCATAAAAACATTCTTCTTCGCAGCGCGCGATCACAGCAATTAATGCAACTTATTATGGTGAACAGTGCACCACGGTAAAGAATATAAGCAACCCAACAAGACAGAAGGATAATTTTACTCTCCTCTTTCCTTCTCGACCCGATTTCTTATCCTCCTATTATAATATATTATATATTTATGACCTTTTCACCTATAGTGTAGAGTAGCCAAGCAAGAACCATAGTTGCTGAAAGGGACACTACAGCGATACACTGAATTCGTTTAGCATAAGTTTTATTTTGAAAGCTAGAAAGCCGTTATTTCATCATCATAGACAGAAAATAAGTGGACAAGCAGACAAGAAAATTGAGGTCATTGTTTCATTTTTTATATTTCGTTCCGAAAGCTCAATGCGTAACGCCACGGAATGACAGATGTATACATCAATCATATGCGTTTGGTATTTTGGTAACACTTTCTCTCCCAAGTTTTCTGAGACATGGTGTCTCGGGCTAGCTCGGTGAATAATGTACTTCATTTTTGCCGATTGAAAAACTACGCAGGATCAAGTAGGTGCTGTCAAGATCTGTGATGTAATTGTTATTCGTACGAAAGCTTGCAGGAGTTTTCACCAGCGACATTTTCCTTTCGCGCGTTGTCTCGCTAACCACGCGTATTCTCAGGGATAGCGTGGGAATGTTGGTGTTGTGAACAAATATTTTACTTATGTGGGAAAAAATTATTTTAGTATCCCTATAAAATTTGTTCGTTTTAAACAACCAATACTTAGCTAAAATTGAGAACGCACATTGCAAATTTTCGAAAAGCACCGGTGTCTTTGGTTTTAACTCTCTCTCCTTATTTCTGTACTGTTGGTTTATTATGCTGGTCAACTTGAAATCTTCTTTCGCTTGCTCTATCTGTTCCATTTTTATCGCGTAAATGCAGTCACTTGGCTTCATCAATACCTGATAGTCCCAAATCAACTAAACAGCCGTTTCAGAAAATTAATCCGTCACGATTCTATCTTGATTCAGTACACCTACTTATTCACACTGGCACGCCACCATCTTCATCGGCATAGCTATACATTGTAATGCCGTGCTAAAACCACAGTAAACGTTCATAAGTGCCACCGCAGAAACACAACGTCACTGTACCAGCATATTTCGGCAGTATTTCAACTGCGTCTGTATTGTTTCTCAGAACCCTCGCGCGAGCTATTCAATTCACCTGGCGGAGCCAGCTTAGACGACATTACAAAACGGGAAAGTTCCAAGTTTGGAAAAATTTTGTTAAAAAAACTAAGGTGGCTTCTCTCTAGCGGTTCAAACGTTGGAGGAAGGGCGGAGCGGAACGGCTTTTTAAAGACGATAGTCTTTCTTGGGGACCTTCGACGAAAAAATTTTGGCCTGCCTGCCTGCCTGCCTGCCTGCCTGCCTGCCTGCCTGCCTGCCTGCCTGCCTGCCTGCCTGCCTGCCTGCCTGCCCGCCTGCCCGCCTGCCTGCCTGCCTGTTTGTTCGCCCTAACGATACCTCAAACGGCACCAAACGGCCAACCCCATCCGCAGCGCCCACCAATATTGCTCAAGGTTTAGCGCTCATAGTTGTGCGATTCTCAATTAAAAAGCAATTATTGCGCATATCTGAGACACCACAACAACGCTTCGATGTTTTCTATATCTGCCTTTTGCTAGAAGAGGCACACACAAGTAACTCTAAAGAATGTAGCGTTTAATCACGCTGCACTGACAGTGCAACGCGATGATCAAAAGGGTGCTACGACGTTACGGTTGTGGCACCTGCCCGTCGCTTCGCGTTCTACACCTTATCACATCCGAGACTGGCGCGCAACTTTCTCCGCGGGCTGAACGCCTTCATTTTCGAAGATAACTGCTAGATGGCACTTGTGTCAAACGTGCCTAGATGCGCTCGTTCACCTCCGCCACACGCTCGAGGCACTCTAACGCAGCGCCTGCAGAATACCATTCGCCGATTGTCTTGCACAGAACATCAAATAAACGTTTCGTTCTCTCTATCCAGACGCAAGGCTATCGTCTTTCGACGACATTTACTGTGTAACAAGTAGATTCGGGCCAATTATTCTATCGGTATTTTCTCATTTTTTCTCTCTTCTCTTTCTTTTCGTCTCATGGAGGCGAAAATGCTGTAGGCTCGTGTGCTCGAATTTGGGTGCACGTTGAAGAACCCCAGGTGGTCGAAATTTCCGGAGTCTTCCACTACTGCGTCTCTCATAATCATATGGTGGTTTCGGGACGTTAGACCCCACATATCCAAAATCAATCAATCTTTTCCTCTCATCTCTGTGTCTTTTATATGGCTTATATTGTGCGTTTCCTTCTATTTCTTTATCTGTATACTTCTCTTTCTCGTTCTTTCTCTCTTTCCTTTTCTTTTCTACCTTTTGCTCTCCTTTTGTTTCTCTTTCTTTTTGGCTTCTTCTTTCTTTGACTGCCTCTCTCTCTCCATTTTTTCTTGTTTTCCGCCCTTCCTTTCTTTTTCGCATTTCTTTTTCTTTCTCTGGGATGCTTTACTCAACGCTATTTCTTATGAGAGAGAGAGAGAGTGAGAAAGGAAAGTCCGGGAGGTTAACCAGATATTGGCATCTGGTTTGCTACCCAGCGCTGGGGGCGGAAAGTAGGGGCAAGAAAGAGGGGTTAGATAGAGAAAAAAAAACGCACGCGCACTCATAAAAAAACGAAAACACACACAGGAAGGGCGTCCTATAGCTACAACCGTTCGTTAAGGCCGGTCAATCGCAAAAAGTGTAGTAGCGCTTTCAGGGTCCTCTTCTGCGAAGTCGCATCCTGACGAAACTACAGAATTGCCTGCTCCGACAGAGGTTGATCATCTAATTTGTTGAGTTCCTTGCGAAGGCATAGTCGTTGTTTACTATACGCTAGGCAGTCGCAAAGAATATGTTGAATTGTTTCCTCTTTGCCACAGTGGCCACAGGCTGCTGTGTCGGCCATCCCAACGCGGAAAGCGTAGGCGTTGGTAAACGAAACGCCCAACCACAGCCTACATAACAGGGTCTGGTCTGCTCGGCAAAGCCTCGACGGGACTTGAAGACTTAGCGTAGGGTCAAGCGAGTACAGTCGGGCATGCTTTAAGTGTGGCTGATTCCATTGCGACGTGGTTTGCTGGCGAGCAAGTCTGTGGCGCTTTCGTGCAGCATCTGTCCTAGAAAGTGGTAGTCGCAGTTTATGATCTTCAGTGTGGGCTGAGCGGGCAGCTTGATCGGCCCGTTCATTGCCGATGATTCCGCAGTGACTGGGCAACCACTGAAATGTAATTTGGTGCCCTTTCTCAGTCAGGTGGTGTATAACCTCTGCTATCTCTAGTACCAGCTGCTCGTGTGGTCCACGGCGTAAGGCTGATAGTAGAGGCTGCAGTGCCGCCTTCGAGTCGCAGAAAATAGTCCACTTGCGTGTAGGTTGATCAACTACAAATTTCAACGGCGGCACGACGTGCTGCCAATTCTGCTGCCGTTGATGTTGTTGCGTGAGATGTCTTGAATTTAATTGTCGTGGCCAACCTTGGTATCACTACTGCTCCTCTAGAGATGTCCGGCTGAACCAATCCGTCAGTGTATATATGTGTGGAGTCTTGGTATTTCTCATACAAGAGAAGTAGTGTGAGCTCTTTAAGAGCCGGTGACGAGAAATTGGCCTTTTTCTGGACGCCAGGTATGTTAATATTAATCATTGGTTGAGCGAGGTACCATGGCGGAGTCACAGGTCTAGCGGCAGGAGAGAACGAAGTTGGGATCGACTCGCCAGGTATGTTAATATTAATCATTGGTTGAGCGAGGTACCATGGCGGAGTCACAGGTCTAGCGGCAGGAGAGAACGAAGTTGGGATCGACTCACCATGTGCGGTCACTGTTTTGCAGTAAGATGTGCATGGTCGGACCACTGGTAGAGAGGCTAGGTGATGTCGAGGGGTTCGAGCAAGGTGTCGTATATGTGTCCTCAGCACTTCCACATTAATGTGGGTCTTGATGAGGTTGTCCCTTGTAATGGCGATAGTTGCCGCTGTTGACGCACTTTGGGGCAAGCCTAAATATATCCGGAGTGCTTCAGCCTGGACACTTGGAAGCATTCGTATGCTTGTTTTACTTGCGTTGGTTAACACAGGTAGGCTGTACCGAAGGAATCCAAGGAGAAGAATCCTGTATAGTCGCAACATAGCAGTTGTGGACATTCCCCAGTTCGTTAAAGCGAAGAACTTGAACAAATGGCAGATGCCTGTCAATCGCCTTTTCATGTATGATACATGTGAGCTCCATGAGAGGTCTCTGTCAATTATAACACCTAGGAACTTGTATGATCGGAGGTGACGTATTCTTTCGCTGTTTATCAGAACGCTGTAGTTATGCATTGGTTTGCGCGTAAATGCCACTAGTGCACATTTCTCAGAGGAAGTTTCCAGACCTCGTTGACGGCGGTAAATAGCAACTTGAGTGGCAGCTCTCTGAATTCGCGCTCGCAGCTGTAGACGTGTTACTGCAGACTTCCAAACGCAGATGTCGTCTGCGTACATTGACAATCTGACAGTACTTGGCAGATGCTCATTGAGAGCTATTAGCGTCAGGTTGA